TATAGTAATTGGCTCAGGAACAGACACATGACCTAAGCTAAACTAGTGAGAGCCTTCCCAGGGAATTTTACCAGAATTACCAGGAAATCAACTGCTTTTCTCTAGTGCTGCCAGGTTTTGTCTTTGTTACAACATGGGGACAACCTACCTGATCATGAGGGCAGCACAGGAGAAAACAGTTGCTCTCAATTTAGTAGGATATTAAGACAGATTCAGAGTCCAGTACCAGCTCTGTCCCTCTGTCCATAGGCATGTGTCTTAATTTCTCTGAGCCTTACTTTTCTTGTGTGTAAATGCAGATACCACTATCAATTAAGATGATCTACTAACCATTCAATACATATTGCTGAGCACCTACTGTAGACCAAACCCAGGTTAGACACTGGAGATACAAGCAGTGAATGAAACAGAAAAGACTGCTGTCATGAAGCTTGTATTTAAAGGGAGTTATAAACAATAAAAGCAGAGACCCATCCTGTGGTGTCAAACAGTGATTAGTGCCATGAGGAAGGAAAAGCAGGGTAAGTAGCAGAGAAGGTGCCATCATGTATAATGTATTATGCAGTCATGCATAGTCTGTTTTAGAGAAGGTGGTTAAGGAAGGTCTTTCTGAGGAAGTAATATTTGAGCCGATACCTAAAGAAAACGAGAAACAGTCTGATGAAGACCATTCAGTCCAGGGGCTGGCACATGCATAGGCTGCAGGCAGGACCTGCTCAGTTAGTGTTAGTTACTTCTATTGTGACGGCGGGGGGTGGGGGGAGGTTGGGGGGTAGGCTGAGGACTGGCTCTCATGACCTTGCACCTTCCCTCTTCTGTCCCCCTAGCTCTGGCACTCGTGCTGATCTTTGTGGAAAAAATCTGTGATGAAAACAAATTCTGGCCCAATCTAGGGCTACCTCTGTTAGGAATGCCATGCTCAAAGCAGGGATTGGGGGAGCAACTCAGGAGAGGAAGGATTTGACCACGGCTGCCACCCTTCACCTACTGTCTTCAGCATCACAACCAGGGAAGTAAATTAGGACAGTCTCACCTTCACAGATGCTTATCCTGTATTCGACAATAACCTCAGCCACAAGTGCATTAAGATCAGCACACTTACTTTAAAGTTCAAAAGGAAACATTTTCCTGTAGTTTGGGGAGATCTGGTTCTTCTAACCATGGGAAAAAAGGAGGGACCCTCCATCTGCTGCTGTTGTGTTTATAGAAGAGAGCTCAACCAAGGGAGCCCTCCCGACTTACCCTTCATTTGGACTGCATAATTTCACAAGGGAGGAGTCTGAGATCCCCCTAGTCACTACTTCCACACACACAGCCCATGCCCCTGGATAAGCTCTGGGGAGTGTGGGGCAGGCTGCACAGCCAGCCTCCTGGAGGCGAGGCCCAGCCAAACCTTTTGGGACCCCACCTGGTGAACTCTGTCTTGGGTCTGACCTATTTTCTAGGAGAGAAAATAGAATATAGATTTAAATGCAGTGGTGCTCTGGAAAACTACAGGCCCAGCAGTGTGAGAAAATAAAACAGTGGGGGGTGGTGGTGCAGAGGAAGTGCTTGTTTGGGTGAGGATGCTACCTCTCCTGGATCAATCTTATCTGGTTGTCAACTGCCTTTTCTTCTGCAATTTGCCCCCATTTTTCTCCATTAAGGATTGATATACATACACACATTTACATATTTATCTTTCCTCTGACCAGTCCGGGGGCCCAGTGCTGTTCCCCCAGACACAGACTCCAGGCTGAAGACCATTCGTAAGCACAGACAGAGGGAGCTCTGGGGATGGTCGCCTTGGATGTGGGACAGCAGCAAGGCATGGACTCGGAAACGTCCGAAGTTGCATCCTAGGTCAGCCTTCCTTGCTGTGTGACCACAGGAAAGACTTTTAATACCCCTGTCCTCTCATATATGAAGGCAGTAAAATTACTAGCTAACATTGAGGGCTTTCTAAATGTAGGTACTGTTCCAAGCTCTTAACAACCACCCTAGGAGATAGGAACTATTATCATACCCATTTTACAGATGATAAAACTGAAGCACAGAAAGATTCAGTAACCGACCCAAGGTCTACATAGCCTGTAGACCCAGAGCCTGAATCCTGGCAATCCAGCTGTGGATCTCCCTCTCTGTGCCAATTCCTATGACCTGGCCTGGCTCACATGGCTATACTAGGAGCTAAGGTGGGGTCATCTCTACCAAGCCACATGGATTAAGGATGGGAAGGGGGTCCCCAAAAGACAGCTGGGACTTGTTACACAAAGAAGGGGTAAGGGATGGACAGACAGTATAATGGATGGATATGGTTGAGCTTCTGATTTCCCCCCGCCCCCATCAGCCTTTGCCATTTCATTCTGTTGGTCAGAATTGAACGTGGAGATTCAGGTTACTCACTGCTTCTTGGGACGGGGGCCAGGTGATATTGTGTGTCTCTATTTCACATTGGACACAATGCTCAGAACTGCCTCCAGCTCAGTGATGTTACTAGAAACCGAGCTTGGACCCTGACCCCTCACTGAAGGAGGTTTTTCTTGGTGTTCCTGTTGCTCCTCTTTGGCAAGAAGTGATGCTGTATGTTTTATGCTCAGGGCTAGAACTAAGGCCAATTAAAGCTTCAGGAAGGAATGGAATTTTTTTGGACCCCTGTTCCTTCTCTCCTACCACCTTTTAACTCCTCCTTGCCCCATTTCCCCCTGAGGAGGAGAAGGGAGGAAAAAGTCCCCAGAGAGGGGAGGGCTGGATCAGACACTTTCATTCATAAGTAGAAGAGTTGAACTGAAATCACACACACACACACATACACAAAGCCCTAATTCCTGTAGGCTCTTGGTGTTTCCAGGGAGCCTCCTGGTCACCATTTTTGGATAGTTCTGTCTGTGGTAATTCAAGATGGTAACAATCAGCACAGCTAACATTTATGCAGTGTTTGCCTTGTACTGAGTTAAACGCTTTGCAAGTATTTAATCTCATAACAATGCCATGAGGGAGGTTCTGTTCTGTTCCCCTTGTATAGCTGAGGAAAACACCTCAGAAGTTCAGTGATTGACCAAACACCGCCATTCAGTAGGCAGGGACTTGAACCCAGATCTGTCTGTCTCCAGAGTTTAACATTCGAAACACAATGTTCAAATGGGCAACTTAGTATCAAAAGAACTTGGGAGTTCCAAGGTATCCTGCCTCCCTTGGGTGTTGGTGCCTCCAAAGAGCATGTTTCCATGAATAACAGTGTTGAAAGTCCCACCACTGAACTCCACCACATGTAAATAGTTTGATATCCTGTTTAATGAAGGGGTGTTTTAACGACCACTATTCTAGGCAATCCATCAGTCACAGTTAATTGCCCTGCTTAGTTATTTATACAGAATGTTTTCCCTTCCCACCTCTTCTATTTTGCCACTTTTCTTCTTCCTGCCACTCTACCCCTGAATCTAACAACTCACCAGAAAATCTGAAAGGGGGTGTGGCTGAGGAATGAGTCAGGGCTCTCTAGAAGTCTCTTTGGGCAGATATAGCTTCTAGGGAATACAGGGCGCGGGCTGGAGAAATGCTTAGCTGTTGCTGTGGGTTTGCCCCTCCTGGATGTGGGGGCACAGCTCTGTTAGGTCAGCGCCTGGATTTTCCTGGGGCAGGAGTTCCAGTTCCTACGGATCTTGCCAAAACTTTACAAATCTGATTGCAGCAAATTAGAGGCACAGTAGACAAAACTATGACTCGCTCACAGGGTAGCTAGGTTGGTCTCCCCCATGGCTCGAGGTTGCTCACTTTAGCCTACAAACTGAATTTGGGTCCCATATGCCTCTGAGGGACTGGGATTCCATTGAATAAATGTTGAATTGGGTGGGATTCAAGAGGTCTAGTGTCTTATTTAGTCTCTGTACCTGAACTAAGTGTGTGACCTTGGGCAAGCCTCTCAAACTCTTTCATCCTCCATCTTAACCAAAAATGAATTAAGCTAGATGATGTCTGTGGGTATCCCTGGTCTACCATTCCATGATTCTAAGTGAGTCGCCCAGGATTGCTGGGATGGCCAGTGGTTTCCTGAAGCAGCCCCCTGTTCCATCTCCTCAGGTGAGGTATATCCTTTCAGGTTGGGTCTAGAGGTTTTGACAAAGTTCTAGCTCGCTCTTGACTTGGCTTCTCAGCAGGATTCTACCTTACATTTGAGGGTAGGAGGAGATTGTGTTCATGAAGATGATGGGAGTGAACTATTCTTCATTTTTTGAAAGTTCATTGGCTTCATTCAAATGTCAACCTTCCTAGGGCTGGATGTTTATTTGTAGTTGTCAAATGTGATTTCAGATGGCAATTCCTGTCATTAATGATGAGGTGAAGAGCAAGGAGAAAAATTAAAGGGGGAGTTGGGATTTCAATTTGTATCAAAAATTATCTACTCACACACAATCTCCTGCATACACACGGCTGTCTGTGATGAAGGATGGTCACTGGGAATACTGGAGAGGGAGGGGATTATAAATGTTTTGTTACCTTCTGTCCTTCAGTCCTATATGGGAAATAATGCTGCAACTTGCTCTTAATTCTCATGCCTCTTTTTCTTTGTTCCTCAAGGAAGTGGTTTATTATTTTTTCTCTCTGTGGGGAATCTTGCTTGACATCATGTCCAGTGTTCTGTGTCTGAAGGCGAGGAGGATTTGCTTGGGTGGTGTTATGCAGAAATCAACCAGAATATTTTAACCAATATTCTTGCAGGATTCCAGTCTGCTTGGCTCTTCAGAGCCCTATCTGATTCCAGGATGATGTCTTTCCGGACAGATGTGACGCTCACCTCTCTTGCTACATGCACAGTGGAAAGGGAGCTTGGTCCCTCGGCTTGCATGGGTGGTTTTTGGGTGAAGGTAGAACTAAGTGCTCAGAAGCTGAGTACCTTTGGGGTCTTGCATGAGCGTGATAGTCATGCAAGGGCGTGTGTGTGTGTGCTTCTAACACTCTTCTTCCTTTTTCTCCCCCTTTCTCTCCTCTGCCTTGGCCTCTCTTCGAAAATGCTGCCACAGATGTCAGTCAAGGTCCAGGTGAGTCTCTGTGTTTGCACAGCTGCCGTGGAAATTTCCCCTCTGCCAGATTGTGCATGGTTTGATTCTGAGTGAGACCTTTTTCTAGGGACTCTAAACAGAACAGAGATCTAAGTACATTGCATTTTCATTGCTTTGGGTTGAGAAGAAATGCCTTGAATTGATGTGTTCATATTGGTTTTGAAAACCATTTTAAAACCAAAGGAATGTGGTTCCCCTGCTTACATAGTCACTTCCTTTGGATTAATATTTCTGGGTGAATCAAAGAAGTGGAAAATGAGCATTTTTGGAAATATTTTTAAAAGATATTCTTAAGATATAAATTCTCCAATTTAATGAGCCTTTTTGCCTTATCGTACATAAATCTACTTGTCTTCTATAGCTTCATGTGGTTGAAAGTTGAAGATAGGACATACTTAGCATGGAAAATATGTGGGTGAAAGAAGTCTTCCTTTTTTTTTTTATTCTAAGAAATGATTTTCTCCCCACCCTACAATGAAATTAGCAATTTTTAAATGGTTATGTAACTAATACATGCTCACTGTATTAACAAAAAAAAAAAAAAAGAAGAGGAATGGTTTTTGTCAATGAACAAATGGAAGAACTATTCTTATGCTAATTGTGCATTTCTCTTGTTAAACTGCATACTCATCCAGAGTTCTAATTGTAAGCACTGTGTGTGTGTCTGTGTGTGCAGACACACACATATGTACACATACACACACAGGCTCATATGAGAGGATACAACCATATATGGATAAGAAGTGTCAGATGACTTAGAATGATTTGGAGACTTTCCTAAACTGGATAGAATTTTGAGTTAAGAAGAGTAATTAACCCTACCAAATGAGAAGGGAATATCATCATTCTTAACTATTTCACATACATTTTCTTGTTTAGTCGTTTTAACATTAAATTCTTATAATATCAATACAAGGCGTAGGTATTGTTATATCCATTTTAAAATAATGGAGATTGAGGGCCAGGAGGTTGAGCCATTTGCCCCCAGTCATAGGGCTCATCAGCGGTAGCACTGGGATTTGAACTTAGGACTCTGGGATTCCAAAGCCCATGCACACTCCATTGGAACATGCTGAAAATTCCATCACTGCAAATTCTCAGCAACTGAAGGTCTTGTAAACATTTCTTAATGAAACTATTGTCTATTTCTTAGTGATAATATGATGTTTTCGTTATTAGCAGTCCTCTTTCCAAATGAATTTATCCTTTTTTTTTTTTTTTTGACTATCTAAAAGAATCAACCGGACTTAAGTAGGGTTTCTGACCATTGATCTATATGGCATATTATATAACATAAAAGAATAATACAGTTATCACCAGCTAATACACAGGGTTTCCCTGTTTTTGTTTTCTTCTGTCCACACCTTACCTTTGAAAATAAATGGTGTTTGAACCAATGCATAGGACAGAATTTCCTAGGAAGACTGATTCCATTAAATTAATTTTCTATTTAATAATATTTTATTCAACAAATATTTATTGAAAACCTACTGTGTACCAGGCAGTGTTGTAGGCACTAGGGATAAAACAGTGGACAAAACAGAAGACAATCCCTGTCCTCATTTTTATTCTACTTGAGGGAAGACAACTAAAGAACTGTATATATACACACACATATCACACATATTATATATATGTACATATTACATATATTGTATGAGAGGGTGGGTGAGGAGCACTGAGGAGAAAAATGAAACCGTTAAAAGCTAATTTATAGAGGATACTCAGGCCTCTCCGTTAAGATGATGTCTTCTGGAACACCTTAAGGTGGTGAGGTAGTAAGCACAACACCTTAAGCTTTGTTTGTAAAAGTACCACTTGACTCAACCCCTCCTCCTCCTGGTTCCTGTCAAAGATGTGACCCAGGGTCCCCATGTTGGCTTGTGTGTGTTGTGCCCTGAGCAGGGCCTCCGGCTGAGGGAATGAGGGGCTGAAATCCAGCCTGCATTCCTCTTGCCAAGCCTGCAACCATGGGGCTGCCTCTGACCAAAGTGGGGGAGCGCCTTTTTGTAATTCTTGAAAAGGTGCCTATTGGTCCTGGATGAGATAGTATGGCAGAGTGAAACGCAGCAGACACACAGGCTCCTGTCTGTCTTTCCAGAGGGGTGGAGGTCAGTGGGTGACCCTCCCTCACATAACAGCAACTGTAACTAGCCCTGTGCAGCCCCATTCCAATTCCACAGCCAATCTCTCATCTTAGTCTCTTAAAAACCCTCTGAGGTATGTCCACTGAGCCCCATTTTTCTTCTGAGGAAGTTGAGGCCAGGAGGTTAAGTGATGTGTGGGGGTCACCCAGCCATCGAGGAGCTGGGCCAAGAGGGGATTCCAGCCTGATTCCAAATCTGGCACTCTTTGTGCTGCCCTTGAGGTGTCAAGAGCTGATTGCCAATCCTGTAACTCCCCACCCCAATCCCTTGCTTTTTTGTACCTCCTGAGCCTGAAGCAGATCACTAGTTCAGAACCTCTCCTTGTGGCCCCGGACAGAGCGGGAGGCGGCCCGAGCTGCCTGGCCCAGGCTGAGGTCAGCCCCTCTGAGCCGCCGGCCAGGCCAAGGGGAGCCAGCCGTGTTGTGGCTCTGAAACAAGACGCCTTTAGTGGTTCTTTGATTTTTTTCCCCTTCCCCACAGGAAGACAAATCGGGGATTTTATGAGCTAATGTAACTGTTTACCCAGGGGCCGCGGGCAGACTGTGAGGGACGACTGATTAATTTTACATGCTGAGGGTACGGGTGAGAAATAACCGTACTGGAAGACACTGTTGGCAGCGCCTTCCCCAAGGTCCAGGCCATGGGCTGGGGGCGCAGAGACTGTCCTGGAAACACCCAGAAGAAAAGCGGCAGGTAATACCTTCCTGGGCTTCCATGTGGGAAGATCCACAGCCCCTCCTCCTCGTCTTTAGGAGGGAGGTTTAGGATAATAGAGAGGCATCAGGCATTTGTGCTGTGCTGATCTGAAGGAGGTGAGGGACACTCAGCTCTGATTTAACTCTTCACATCCACCCTCCCGGGCAGGTGTTACTGTCCTCTGTCAGACAAGAGAAGCCTCAGAGAGGGCCGGGAACTGCCCACGGTCTCCGGCTGCTAGTACAAGACCGGGATCTCACATCTGTCTGCCTCCAAAGCCTGTGCTCTTTATCTTTGAAACCCTGGCATTTCCAAGACAGAGCTGTGGGCCAGGGGTGCTGCTTCTCTGTGTCTGCATTCCTAACTTTCTGTGCAGGGCACATAGTAGGGCCTCAAAATATTTATTGAGCAGAAAATGTGGGAACAAATACCAGGACATTGTGCGTTTGTAGGGTCCTGAGACATATTGGAGCTCAAAGGGTATCCTGTCCAAAGAGGACAACTATTTTACTTTTCAGAGGAGGAAACTGAGGCCCCAGGGAGGGGCAGGGACATCTCCAAGGCCAGATAACCCATTTGTGGCCTGCAGGAGACCCCTGTCAGGCACTTATCCCATGCCCCTGGCTCATTTGGGTTAGTCACTGGGCTCCCTGTGCTGCCTGGGGGTTCAGGAGTGGGCAGTCCCAGCCCCCTCTGTACCATGCCGTGCCCTCAGCCCTCTCCCTCTTCCTGTGTGTTCCGGAACTCTCTGCCAAGGGGAGAACAAGTCCTTTGGAGGTGAGGAAGAGGGCAGCGTAGAGGAAGGATCTAGGAGTCAGGGAACCAGTGCTGGGGCCTGTGGGTGTAAGACCCCTCTCTTCCCTTCCCCCAGCACCTTTCCCTCCAGCCACGAGGGGCTGCTTATGGTGCACCAATGACAGTCTCTCTCCTCAGAAGGGGTAATTTCTCACGCTCTGCCTGCTGATTAGAGCTGGAATTTAAATGAATAACTGTGACCTTGTAGAAGTGCCCTAGTTATTCAGAGGCCCGATGAGGAAATAGGCCTCTTGCTTCGGTCCATCAGAGCCTTGGCAGGCGCAGGAGGAGGGGCTGCTGTCTGCCAGGGCCCAGAGGAGGCCCCGGCGTGCTGTCGTCGCCCGAAGCAACTGGCGGCCTTTGCTGGAGCCTCCCTCTGTCCGCTCTTGATCTCTGCCCTCGGTGTTCTCCCCCTTCAGTTTAAGTCATCTCAGGGCTCTCCGGGGAGAGCAGACCTGATTATTGATCCTGAACCCTGCCCCTGTCTCTGGGGAGTCCAGCCTGAGGGACGCTGTTCTGAACCCGAAGTCAGGACGCAGCACTGTTGTGTCTGACTTGTGTGATGGACACAAAGGGTTTGCCCTAGAAGTTACTGCTCAGAGACGGGCCCCAGACCCTCAGCACTGGCCTCGTGCAGGAGCCTGTTAGAAAAGCAGAATCTCAGGCCTCACCCCAGACCTGCTGAGTCAGAATCTGCTAGAAAAGCAGAATCTCAGGCCTCACCCCAGACCTGCTGAGTCAGAATCTGCTTTTTACCGAGACGTCCAGGTGTACACACATTAACGCTTGAAGGCCCACTGACCTAAAGTGTTCAGCTTCTCCTCGTCTTTGGGGCCAGCCGAGGCTGTGTCTACTGAGGAAGGCGTGGTCCACCACACGAATGCCCCATTCCTTGCCTCTTCTCCTGGGCACATGGTACAACGTGGCCCTTTTCTGGGTTGACAGGGGTTGGGAGGGTGACCGGGATTAGGGAAGGGAAAAGGAATGAACGCTTCCTGACCACTGAGTCTGTGACCATCACTGTTCCGGTACTTTCCACAGAAGAGTTTACAAAGTGAGGCAGAGTAACTCAGGATAGCACAGGGTTCCCTGAACTAATGCTTGGGGGCTAACTCCAGCCCGTGCCTGCTTCCATACGGCCTTTGAGCTACAGATGGCTTTTCACGTTATAAATAGTTGGAAGCAGTCAAGAGAATAATTTGTGATGCACATATTTTATGAAATTCCGATGTCATTGTTCATAAAGTTTTATCAGAACACAGGCACGCTTCTTCATTTCTGTTTTGTGTCTGGCTGCTTTGTGAAGGCGGAGTGGAATAGCTGTGTGGCGTGCAAAGCCTG